GCGCGCCCCCCCCGCCGGGGGCAGATGTTCCTTTGAGGCATTCAGGGGCCTGGCGGGTTGTTTACTGTTGTCATGGCTGCCCCCGTTGCCATGGCAGCGCGCTGCTGTGGGGGGAACCCGGGAATACAGTTATAAAAGGATCATATTTTGTTCTGTCAGTGTGACTCGCCATCTGTCAACGGACTGCTCGTGATGGAGTCCAAAAACCATTTAAGAACAGCAGCAGCTGGCTGAGGGGTTTTGCTCGAGTAATGTGGCAGTGGCTGAGGATGCAAATAAGTCAGTGCTCCTGTGAAACACAAGCTTCGAGGCTTTCCCTCAGTGGTAGCGGTTTTGCTTCCAACACGTTCTTAAACATCCTCAAAATCCTTATCAATGAAGGCAAATGACCAAGCGTCATCTTTTGTGTTCAGTTTGGTGCAGATGCTCTCTATGCTTTCCCACTCGGTCTTACCTCATCTCAGTGTGTTGATTCTGAGTTGTGATGTTGCATCTGCTTTCACAGATTGTTATGAAATCTAAATACTCTTTAGCAGAATTAAATAGCAAATTTGGGAAGCTCACAGGGCAAACACGAGTACAGTTTAGTGACATATTCATTAGTTTGCTGTACTTAGCAGAAATATTGGGATCATGTTCAGGTTTGGGGGAAGATCCAAAGTGTGATTAAAGAACCCTCTGAATAATGACTTCTTTATACCTCTACGCTGTAGAGATTCGATAGAATCTATAGTTTAGCAAGGGGGGCAAAAAGATTAGCCCAGTTGTAAATAATCTATTTATTGGTTGATTTTTCCAGATCCTGACATTGATGCTGCCACTGCCATGATGCTTTTGAATACTCCCCCTGAGATACAAGCAGGTTGTGAGTAGATATTTCTATAGCATATAGCAACATAGACATGTAAAGTTAATATTCTCTTTTCTAAATATACAGTGTACCAGATAAAAAGGATTAAATAAAGAAATATAACTTCCCTTGTAGAGCCTTATACTTACTTGACCCTTACATGAAGTATAATTTTGTGGTTCGTGTTACATTCATTGTTACATGAATAATAGTAATCCATAATCTCTAATGCTAAAGAGAGGTTATTGTTATTCATGACGTACATATAGCTGAGTAACGTACAATTATCCGTACTGATAGGAAGACCCGAGGCAACAGCCAGAGAGAGAAAGAGAGCAGGAGAGTGAAGGGTACATGGCATATGGTTTTGTTTTCGTTTTGTTTTGATTTGACTCCCATCGTGTGAGTTACCGCAGCCATCTGGATACTTTCCATTCGCTTGGGCACTGTTTCAGCTCCCTCCTTGCACACATCCTGCCCATTTCACTGTTTTGCTCTATCCAGTTCCAGGCGCTAGGCAGGCTCCGGGCACTAAGGAGAAGTCTGACTTCCTGCCAGGAGGATCCTTCTTGTTCTGCGACCAGACCTGAGGTTTGAATGCTGCATAATAGCAGAGCACTTAAGAGGCATTTGCCCCCACCATACTGGGCTGTGCAAACAGTGAAAGGATCATCCTGCCCCAGAGAGCTTACAGTGAAGGCATCAGAGGAATTCATAAAGGGATGCAGCCACACAAAAGCACGGAGTGCAAGAAAACAAACACATCACTGGTCAGCAAGCATGGTAGTAATGCCAAGTGACAGGCAGCCCGAAAAAAATAAAGGCAGAAGTTAAAATAGAAGCCACTATGGAGCCTGTCCTAGCATCTCTGCTATTGTTCTGGCTCATGCAACCAGATCCGTGTCCTGAGCGAAGCCTTGATTCGCGCTTTGATACTCTGCCTGGGGAGAAGAGTCGATTACAATCAAAGCATTTCCCGTGCAGCTGGGGAGAGCTATTTTCCGGCTGCTTTGTGACCCCACCAGAGAGCATCTGTCGAGACCCTCCGATGGCAAAGATGCTCCATGAAGCTGCCTCTTCCCCAGGGAGAGTGGCCGTAGCCTCCTCCGCTTGCTGGAGCAATTGGTCAGCAATTGAGTGCAGTAACAGGGGGAGGAATTCAACTATGTGCAGGGAGGAAGAAAAGACAAATTTTACTGGGGGAAGAAGGTGGGGTTGGTAGGAACTAAAAAAAAAAAGATTTTTAGAGCAGCGGAAATTTAGAGAAGTTAAGATTTGTAGGGCAAAGAAAAGAAGCTGGGGTAGAACGAAAGTGCAGTGGTAAAAGGCAGAGGGGATATGTGACCAGGAAGAAGAAACAAAGAAGTATATTCACAGAAAGGGATGGAGAAAACTCAAAATTATCCAAACTCCTGGGGAAATTGGGGAGCAGGAGAAGGATGCAGCTAGTAAGAGCTGCATAGTAAGGAGCAGTAGGAGCTGCGTAGGAGCTGCGTAGTAAGCTGCATATACTAACCCCATACTACAGATTTTTGTCAGCCGTGCATATTTCCAGCAGTGCAGCTGTTTGTGTGGAAGTGATTTGAGGACTTGGGCGTTTGCATTTCATAGAGAGCAAAGCTGTGGAAGGGTAAATGGCTTATTGCTATTTTATTTTCTAGAGATCATTTTAAGGAGAGAAATTCTAACTTTTTAAGTGTGGCATGTCCCTCCGCCCATGCTGCCTTCCCGGAGGGTTATTTTGTCAGGATGTCAAAAGAGACTGGAGGGAGATGAAGCAGAAGGATTGCTCCTTCATTCACATTGCTGCCTCCTTGATGTCAGCAAGTAATGGGACCTTCCTCTGGACCTTTAAACTGAAATGTGGGGTCTACTCAGAAGTTCATGAAACCTTCCAAGTATTCAACAGAATTGGCTGGAACAAGGAAGAGACAGCAGAAATGTTACTCTTGTTCTCCTTGTTCCTTGAAATATCAAAGGAGAAATATTTTTATCTGTGTGCGATAGATTTTTGAGGAAGTAAAACAGCTCATCCTGTGTATTGTAACAGGCTCTAGCTTTTCTAGCATGTTAGGAAACTCTTAGAGAACTTAGAGGAAATTAATTACTACTGCACGTTAAGAAACAACTACATGAAAAATAAGTTTTAAAATTCATTGTCAAATAAAAGGTAAAGGAGCTAGAAAAAAACTATAGTGATCCTGAGCATCTTACGGAAACACAATTCATTCATTGTGTGCTCTGCCACTGACTGCAGTGGTCTGTAAATCAAGCTGTAAATCATCGTCCAAGTAAATATGCTGATACTATTTGATCTTGTGAAGATTTGCGTTTCTCTCCATCGTATCAGATGGTGATATAGTGTCAAGCACGTGCTAAAGCCATCAGACCCACAAATTGCCCCTTCTTTTGGAAGCAAAACTTGCCAGTTTGACCACAAGTGTCAATGACTGGCTGAAAATGCCCTTTTGCTGTCTGAATCTGTTTGACTGCAAGTGTGGCCGTTGCCTTGACAGCAGAGTTGGGCAGATGAAGGCAGAACCTGAGCCTGATGTCACAGAATAACAACACGTCCAGTCAGGAAATTCAGAACTCCAGTCCATTAAGGCTTTTGCCTTTCCCCAAAAACGTTTAAAGATCGTTGTGAAACACGGATGTTGCCAAAGCAGATTATGAATTCCTGCATGCGTGGACCATTACAGATGTTGGGTTTTTATTTGCAAGGCATCTTCTTGGATTAAAAGCTGCCTTTCCAACAGGGTAAAAATCCATACTCATCTAGGCAATGTGGATGCTAAAGCATCTTTATCCTACAGTGAGCTATAGCCATCATTCAAGTTTTATTAAAATTTGCTGTTTTAATATAGCTGCTCAGAAAGGATTCTCAACTTAGTAGGGTTAGAAGATCCAGAGAGTAAACTATTGCTTTTTTTCCTGACCAATTGGTTAATGAACTTTACCTCTTTAAATGATCATTTGTAACCCCATGTTCATGTGTCAAACACCAGAAACTAGCCACACATAAATTTTAAAATCAGCTATTGCTTTTATATGAAATCAGGAAATGGTGTCTGAGCCTGCACAAATTGTGCTTACCACTTACCCCCAGTCACACTGAGCTTTAATTTTCATGCAAAAACATGGAAAATAGAATAGTAAAGCACCATTACTTGGATTAATTTGTGTTTGTGGAGGATTTACTTCGTAGACTCATGAAACTGAGTTGACGTCGGTGCTAAAAGGTTGAAAATAATGCTATTCTAGTTGGATTGTTGACATCAGAAATCAATTTCTGAAATATTGACACTTTGTGCTAGTGTCACAGGCTAAATATTTTAAATTGTAGTTAAAGGCAGAAGTTCAAAATAGCCTGTTCTGTGCAGGACTCTGTAGAAATGTACAATACAGCTGACAACAAGAATGAAGCCTGGATTGTGATATGCTACAAAAAGGCATTTAGAAACGTAGCTTTAATACTTTATTTATTTCACTTTGTGTTTGTTACTACTTTCATTGAGTTTTGTATGGTTTAATTCTGCTTAAAAAAAAGTTTTCTGTAGCAGCAGCTACCACAAGGTGTGAATACTCTGGAAATTAGTAGTAGCCAGTACATGAATATTCATTCCAAAATATGTGGCTTGTATTGAGAATTGTATTTTGATGGGTGGGTTGCATACTGGCTGGGCCATCTTGAGCAAGTTATGTCAAATTTCTGTGTCCTTTTTCTCTGATGGGAATCCAGTTCACAGGATAGAAAAGGAAAACGAGATAGTGAATAAATGTTTAAGCTCGATTTGGAACTTTAGACCACTAACTAAAGGAAGCCTATGGATTATTTTGTATAAAAATGTTAAGATTTTCAATTATTGGAAGATGATAAGAAGGTCATACTGCCCATACGAAGTAGCACTGCCTTTTTAACTGGCGAGATCCTTCCGTACTTGAAAGGATTTGCTGTGCGGAAGGGCCGGTGAGGAGGGAGCGCGTGGGGGTTGTTGCTGGTGCTCTTGCTGGTGAAACGGCGCTGTGGCCAAGGGTGACACTGAAAACCCTTTTAATTCAAGCAGTTCCTGAGTCAGCGCGCTCAGACTTAGCTTTGAATTTGTGAGTAGTTCTTTGCCCATTGCTATATAATTTTGAAATTGCACATGAATGTAAGTAGGTTGTTCAAGTGGAAGTTTAATACTACAAACATTACTTGGAAAAAAAGGGTTGGGTGGGATCCAGAAAACCCTAGGAGGACCTTCTCAGCTCTGAAAACTTATCTTCCTTTCACATTACCACTTACCTAAGCAGCTGGACATATCCTTTGGGATCATTTGCAAGAGGAGTTTTTATGTGGGAGACTGAAATGCTGTGGTAAAGATGTTTGGGGAGATCTGAGAATACACTGCTGGGTACTTCTTTAAAAACAGGCTTTTCAAGGGTGAGATCAATTTCCCTATTCTTTTCTGGAAATCATTATTAATCCTTGTCTCAAGGCATGTATAATCCAGAACAGATATATCTGATATATTTTAAATTTTGTGGGAAGAGAAGAAAGTCCTGAGAGAGCTCTACTGTTACTACAACTCTGTATTTCTAAAATCATACCCCTGTGCAATTTACTTTTTAAGCTAAAGGAAGTGGACTGTGTAAATAGGAGACATATTTACAAGAATGGAGATATAAAATTGCCATAAAAACAGACAGAATTCCTGCAAGTAAGGTCAAAAAGAAAATGCTGCTATCTCACTACATTTTTATTGTGTGTGAAACCCGATAACTGCACGCTTCTGTTTGTACCACTTGTAAACAAATTACTTATTAGAGCTGATTAGGAAGGCTCCAGCGTAATACTTGAGAGCTGAAAATGGGAGTTGATTGATAGTGAAATATTTCATAAAGCTACTTTTTGTAATAATGTTAAGTCAAAATGAAAATTGGTCAAAAGATGCTTTAGTAGCATCTTTTTCAGTTGCTTTTTTGGGGCGGGAATGACATCCTCAACTTTTTTTTTATTTTCAGTTTTC